TTCGAAAAAGTTGCTCGCAAAAGCCCGTTCGACAGAAATGTTTAAAAAGTGTTGGGTTTCCTACGAATCCGCAAGAGCGCGCGGGATGAGATTTTGACAATTTATTGTTGAAAAACCATTGGTTTTTTGATGTTTTTATGTTAAAATCGCTCCGAACACTAAGCTTTTGGAAGGATTTCGTCTTGCGCGCGCGAATGTCCACTTTACCTTATTTTTGCAAGGGATTCTTGAAATTTGATTATATTAGAACAAGAAATGTCATTTTCTATTGTTTTTTGCAAGGGAAAGCGGATTACAACAAAACAACCGGATCCTGTTCACACCCTCTTTTCTGAGGCTTCCTCACGAAAATGATGAAAATGTAGCTGCGGCCTAGGCGGCGCAGGGGGGGCGCGCACCAGGGGGCCCAACAATAATTATTCTTTAGAACAAATAATGTTCAACAACAACAACAACAACAACAACAACAACAACAACAACAACAACAACAACAACAAAGACAACGACAACGACAACAACAACGACAACGACGACGACGACGACGACGACGACGACGACGACGACGACGACGACGACGACGACGACAACAACAGGAAAATAACACATCGGATAATCAATGATTTTAACCCTGTCGGGCCTTCCTGGAGGACGTCATGGATGATTTTTGGGCCGTCTTGGAGGCCTGTTGCGGGCCTTTTGGGCAGTCGAAGTCCATCTTCAGGCCATCTGGGGCCGTCTTGGGTGCATTTTGGGGCCATCTTCGCTGTCTTGGAGGTCTCCTTGGCCGTCTTGGAGGCATCTTGGAGGCCACCTTGGCAGTCCTGGAGGCCATTAGGGGCTTCTTGGGGGCCATCTTGGGCCGTCTTGGCACATTCTTGGGGCCGTCTTGGGGGCCCCTTGGGCCGTCCTGGGGCCGTAAAGGAGGCTCCGTGGGCACTCTAGGGGCGATCTTGATGGCCTTTTGGGCAGTCCTGGGACGTCGGAAGGCCGAAAAGGAGCAGAAGTCCAAATCTTTCAAAAACCAACAAGAAATGATTTTGACCTCTTCGGGCCGTCCTTGAGGACCCTGGAGGACCTCTTCGAGGCCTCGTGGGCCGTCTTGGAGGCCTCTTGGAGGCCTCTGGGGCCGTCTTGGGCCGTCTTAGGTGTTGTGCGAACTTGGAGGTATCCTTGATTATATTGGGCCGTTTTCGAAGCCATCTTGGGCCATCTTGGCCATCTTGGAGCCGTCTGAAGCTGAACAACCATTTGCAGCCACCTTTTGCGCACCCTTCCGGGTGGCCGGCGGGACGGGCCGAAGCCCCAGGGGGAGTTCTAAAAGAACCAAAATCGAAAGGATCCAGCACGCCGGGCAACCCTGTGGCAAGCCAACAGGGGGCGGCGAATCGAAGACGCATACGGCGAATCACCGGCGCCCCCTGCCCCTTTGGAAGCGCCTCTGTGGCCGACAGCTGGGTCAGAGCTTGGCCAAGCTATCGGGCCAGTTGTTCCCCGAGTCGGTTTGGAAAGACTTCGGGGAACGCATGGGGGAGCAAGAAGAGGACGAGGGGGAGGATGAGGAAGAAAGAGGAGGAGGAGGAGGAGGAGGAGGAGGAGGAGGAGGAGGAGGAGGAGGAGGAGGAGGCCTCTTGGGCGACTCTTGGGGCACTCTTGGGGCCTCCAGGGAGCTTCCTGAGGGCCCCTTGGAGGGTTTGGGGGGGCCTTTGGGGGCTTCTTGGAGGCCTATTAGGCCGTCTTACGGCGTTCCTGGCTTGTCTGACGCCGTCGGAAGCCGTCTTGGGGGCCTGTCTGGGTCGTCTGGGGGCCCTCTTGGGGCACATCAGGGGTTCTTAGAGGCCATCTTGGGCGTCTTGGAGGCCTCTTGGGCCGTTCTGGGGCCCTCTTGGGGCTGTCTTGGAGGCCTTTTGGGCCGTCATGGGGCCATCTTGGAGGCCTCGTGGGCGATCTTTGGGGCCTCTTAGGCCGTTTTGGGGCCCTCTTGGGGCCGTCTGAGGGGCCTTTTGGGCCGTCATGACCAGGGTGCAACCTTCTCTGGCGGGAAGGGCTCATCGGCCTCGTCCTCGGCGATTCTGGCACGACGTTCAGGAACTCCGAAGGTTGCCGTGCTCGAGCGGTTCGCGAACAGGTCTATCTTCGGTGGGGTTCGTCCTGGCCGAGCGGACGGGGAGACCCGTCGGGTCCCCTTCCCGAGGTTTGCCCTGACCCTCCGGGCGTGGGGTAAGTCTCCGAGCCCCCTCGCCAGCAGGGAGGTCGCCCTCGACAGAGCCTCGTCACTCGATCCTGGCGGCGCTGGGCTGCTGCCCCTCCGCCCGATCTCCATGGCCTGGCCGCGCAGGGCTGGCGGAGCTTTTCTATCCACGGCGCGTGTGCCGGAGGCGGCAGCGGCAGGTGCGCCTCCCGCTGCAAACCCAACCTCCAAGCCCCGTTCTCCTCCGCAGCTTGAGCGACTCTTCTCCTCCCTTGCAAGACAGCTGCCAGCTGCCGTAGTTCGAAAAAAACGCCATAAACATAAACTTTTGGCGCTCCGCGCGGATTTCTGGGATCCGCGCTGAGCCCCCCCCTGGCGGCGCCTCCAGCGACGGAGGCGCCAGGGGCGGCGACGGAGGCGCCGCCGGGGGGGGGCCCGAGCGCGGATCCAAGAAATCCGCGCGGAGCGCCAAAAGTTTGTGTTGATGGCGTTTTTGGTTTTTGTTCGATCGCCTCCCTTTCAAGACAGCCGTGACGCCTTCAGCTCGCCAGCACTCACGAAGGCGCCAAGCCGTGAGAGAGGGGGGAGGGGCAGGCAGAGGCCTGGTGCACATCGGCTCCAGGCCAAGCCCAGAGTCCGTGTGCACCAAGACGCAGCCCAGCATGGGCTCGGCATCGCTCGGACGTGTGCCTTTTCTTTCGGCGAAGACCATCGAGGAGCATCCTGGGTCACGAAGGCGAAAAACGTCCAGGAAGGCGCACGAAGGCGAACGAAGGCGAAAAACGTCCGGGAAATGGGCATCCGAGCGATGGCACCGGGGCCTGTCTCCCCCGCCCTCCCGACCTGAGCCAGGCTTCCGACGGATGGATTGCTTCGCTCCGCGGGCCCCGAACCCTCCCCCCCCCTCCTCTTCCTCCTCCTCCTCCTTCTCCTCCTTCTCCTTCCCTCCTCGCCTCCTCCTCTCCTCCTTCCTCTCATCCCCCTCTTCTCCTAATCCTGCTCTTCATCCCCTCTCTTCCTCCTCCGTCTCCTCCTCCTCCTCATCATATCCTCATCCTCCTCCTCCCCCTCCCCCCTTCCGGACGGTGCGAGCTAGGGCGTCCGTCCTCGCGGCCCCTCTCCATAGCCCCCGCGGCCCGAGAGGCCCTTTCCCCCCCCCCCCCCCCCCGGAGGCCGAAGCCGTGGCAGAGCACGCCACACTGCTGCGCAGAGCAGGAACAGAAAACAGAAAGTGCTCGTCTTCTCGTTCATTGGTTTGCAGATCGACGCGGGCCCTCGCACCCTCCCCTCCCCCCCCCATGGAGTAGATCTTGGCTGTTTTTTTGGTCGCCTGTTTCAAGCAGGTGAGTCTCCCCCATCAGACGCACTGTTACAAACAGTCGCACTAAGCAGAGGTCTGGAGCCAGACCCACCCCCCCTCCCCCCCCTTCCGCCCAATGTCGAAACGCCGAATGAGCAAACGTTCACAAGCGCTGGAGCTCTGGAAGGTGCACTCGGGCGGAGCTAGCACAGGATAAATTGCTCCAGGGCGTTCCAGGGCACTTTCAGAGCGTTCCGGAGCGCTCTGAGAAGGCCGCGGCACCCGAATCCTCCAGAACTGCTGGATCTCAGGGATCGCCGATTTATCCCTGTTCGATTTTGTCCCAAATCCAGATGGTGCTTGTCGCGATTCCTTAATTTTCACCCTTTGCTGTTGCATCTGACCTTGCCACTTGTTGCATCCCTATTCTTTCTCCCACTCCCTACCACGGAGAATTGTCTGCCCGTCTCTCGTTGTTCCTTGCCCTACCCCATCTCGGCTGTCTCATCGAAGCATCGTGGCTGAAGGCCTCTGTCTCGCAGTGCCCTGGCTTCGACTTGTGCGAGCCTCCCCCCTCGCGGCCTCAAGAGGCTCAACCGGGCGCGGCGGCATAGCATTTCCCCAGGGCCGCCGCGGCGACGCGCTGAAAGTTCCCGACCGATTGCGCCCCCCCTCCTGGCTTCGTCGTGTGCGCCCTCGCGAGGCGCAGCCGGCCAGGGCGCGGCGGCACAGCGTTTCCCCGGGGGCCGCCGCGGCGAAGCGCTGAACGAGAGCTCCCGACCGATTGTCTGGACGCCCGAAATGGGTACGGAAAGAATGGGTACGATGCCCAACAGCAGTTCCTGTTCATTCTGAACAGGACTCGCTGTCCACGCCGCCGCGGCCTGTGTCCATTCGAGACAGAAGGCCGCCTGCCCAACAGCGGCCGCTGTTGGCTTGGGACAACATTTGTTGTTGGGCATCGTGCCCATCCTTTCCGTACCCATCTCGGGCGTCCAAAACCGAGCGCGCTCCGCTACAGGCAATCCGCACAGTGAGGATGGGCGACCTTCCCAAGAGCACCCCTGCATCCTTGCCCCTTCGGCCCATCCTCGGCGACTTTCGCCAGCCGACCTCGTCCTGAGAGCGTCCACTTGGCTTTCCAGGGCCCTTGCATCCTTACCGCGCATCCTTCTGATACAGGTTGCGTCTGCGTCTTGTGCGTCTTGTGCGCCCCCACGAGGCGCACAAGACGCACCCGTCCTGGCTGCGTCTCGTGCGCCCCCGCGAGGCGCAGCTGGGCGCGGCGGAGGCGGGCCCCGCGCGGGCGCGGCGCGGCGGCAGCCCTCCCGCGCGCCGGTTCGCCGACCACGCGCGCCTCCTCGGCGGCCGCGGGGTGGCTGCCGTCGGGGCAGTGGCGGACAGTCAGGAG